AATTTGACATGAAGCACCATTTGCTTTCATTACTATAAATAAAGCAGCCCTTTGTTGGCCTAATCAAGGAGGGTGCTAACTTTTGCTAAGGGAACTTCTTCACAGGTGGATTTTGTCATAGTTCTAGTTTTGGTCTGGCAGGGTTAGATAGATTCTTTACCGTACCTTCCACAAAGATTATAAGAGAGAATTTATCTTAGATATTTGAAATCCAAGGGCCCGTTTGGATAGGTGGAAATTAGAAATTTTAGATATTTAAAACTCAAAAAAATATATGGATTTTCAATATCAAGGATTTTTGTCATGAATTCTTCAAATTACTTGTTTGGATAAACTATACAAAATTCATGGATTCTTTGCAATCACTTCTATGTCCATTCGTTGGTAACAAAACTTGATACAATTTATCTTTTCAAAATTTTTATATACTTTCTCCCTCTAAAACTCAAAATTTGGGATAGTGTATCGATAAATTTTTTTGAGATAGTTTCTCTCTCTAAAATATGATATGGTATGTCACTCTAAAATTTAATGTACTTTCTATCCAAAATTTAAAATTTGAAATTGTTTATCAAAAGATCTTGAGATAATTTCTCTCTCTAAAAATTTTAGGTGTTTTATGCTCTTTAAAATTTAATATAGTTTCTCTTTCTAAAATTTCAAGATACTCGTTCTCTAAAACTTAAAACTTGAGATAGTTTCCCTCTACAATAATTTTGAGATAGTTTCTCTCTCTTAACATTTTTAAGTAGTTTCACTCTTTAAAATATGATATAGTTTTTCTCTCAAATTTTAAGATACTTTTTCTTCCTAAAAGCTAAAATTTGAGATAATTTCTCTCTAAAATTTTTGCGATAGTTTTTTTTTCTAAAATTTTTTATGTACTTTCTCTCTCCAAAATTTAATATAGTTACTAGCTTAAATTTTAAGATGCTTTATTACTCTAAAACTTCAAGTTTGAGATAGTTTCTCTCTCCAAAATTTTGAAATAGTTTTTCTCTTTAATATTTGATATAGTGTCTCTCTAAAATTTGATATGCTTTATCTCTCTAAAGTTTAAAATTTGAGATACATCCTCTCTCTAAAACTTAAATTTTGAGATAGTTTCTCTCTAAATTTTTTTGAGATAGTTTCTCTCTTTAAAATTTTCATGTACTTTCTCTATCTAAAATTTGATATAGTTTATCTCTCCAAAATTTTAAGATACTTTCACTCTCTAAATATAAATTTTGCGATAGTTTCTCTCTCAAAAATTTTTGAGATAGTTTCTATCTCTAAAAATTTTTAAGTAGTTTCTCTCTCTAAAATTTGATATAATTTCTATCTTTAAAATTTTAATATATTTTCTATCTCTAAAATTCCAAATTCGAGACAACTTCTCTCTCTAAATTTTTTTGGCAGTTTCTCTTTCTAGAATTTATAATAATTTATCTCTAAAATTTTAAGAATGCTTCCTCTCTCTACAATTTTAGGAATACTTTCTCTCTCTATATTTAAGATTTGATATAAATTCTCTCTCTAAAAATTAAAATATGAGATCATTTTTCTCTCCAAAAGTTTTGAATTAGTTTCTCTCTCTAAAAAATTGAGATACTTTCCCTCTTTAAAAATTTGCATGTATTTTCTCTCTTTAAAATATGATAGTTTTTCTTGAAAATTTAAAATTTGAGATAGTTTTTCTATCTAAAATTTTCAGATAATTCATTTCTCTAAAAACATTTGGTAGTTTCTCTATCTAAAATTTTAACATACTTTTTCTCTCGAAAATTTTAACATTCTTTCTCTCTCTAAAAGTAAAAATTTGATATAGTTTCTCTCTCTAAAATTTTGAAATAGTTCATCTCTCTAAAAAATTTGATATTTTCTCTTTCTAAAATTTTCACATATTTTCTCTCTAAAATTTTAACATGCTTTCTCTCTCTAAAAGTTAAATTTGATGAGATAGTTCATCTCTCTAAAAAAAAATTGTACTTTCTCTCTCTAAAATTTTAACATGCTTTTTCTCTCTAAAATGTTAACATACTTTCTCTTTGTAAATGTTAAAATTTGAAATAGTTTTTCTCTCTAAAAATTATGAGATAGTTTTTCTCTTTAAAAAATATAGTTACTTCCTCTCTCTCTAAAATTTTCATACCTACCAAATGCTTCAATTGTTTTGGATCGAGGGAGCTAATGAGTGAAATCTATGACCTTGGAAATGCAAAAAAAAACAGGTTTTGATGTGGAAATGAAATCATGGAAAATGAGGTCTTATTTCTAAGATTTTGATTTTCTTGATTTTAACTATCCTAGTCATTAGACAATCCAAACGGCGGATTCTGGAAATATCCAAGATATTAGGAATCCATGTCTTAAACTCCATGTATCCAAACAGGCCCTAAATGTTTTTCAAAAATAAAAATTTTATGAGAAATCATGTTATATTTTCGTCTCATGCTAGAGCTTGCAATAGGCCGAGGTGCCTGGCCTAAAATAATAGGGCCCGGGTCATAAACTGTGATTGAGGGCTGGGCTAGGGTCAGTGCGGCCCACCTTTTTTGTCTTGTTTTATCGTTTGTACTTTCTTCAATAATCACCGAAAACCAGCTGGACAAGTGCTGGTTTTTGGTGATTATTTACTGTATAGCTGGCCCGCAAGGTCAAAAGTCTGTTGTAATCGATGCACGTCGGTCGATTCTTTGTCTCCCTAATACTTGTCTTATTCTAAAGCAAGCTTGGGGGCTTAGAAAAACAAAAGAACGAAGATTCTTCATCTTACTCTATTCCTTGTCTTTTCATTTTGACTCTGTTGCACTCTCTCTTTCTGATTTTTGTCTTATTTTGAAAGTAAGCTTTTGGCTAAGAGAAAAGAAAGAAACCTAATATAATTTTTTTATTATTTTTTTTATCTTTTTTCAAATGTTAGCATTTTACTCAAAAATTACAAAAAGAGAGGAGAAAAATAAAAAATAAAAAATAAAAAACAATCAGGCAAAATTAGTGATCTCCGACTATAATTGGTGCGCACCAAATTTAGCCAAAAAATTCGCCTCACTGTTAGCCTCACAGTAGCAATGGATAAGCTTAGTTGTGAGATCAGCTAACATCACCCTGAGCTCATAAAAAATTGAAGTGAACTTCCAAGGAATCTACCTTTCTCCTTTCCCCACGTAATGACAGCTGAATCACCCTCAATAATTTTTCGCCCTTCCAAAATAGAAACAATTTCTTGAGTCCCTCCAGAAGACCTCTAACTGCCGCTTCATTCACCGTAGTTGAACCTCAAAGCCCAGAATAATAGATGAGGATGTTCCCATTTACGATCCCTAATGATTAATGATCCCGCCTTAACTTGCCAATCCGTGTTTCCAACTGAATTGCCTTATCAAAAGTTAATTTAAAGCTACCTTCAGGTGGAGGAGACCAAGGTACATATCAAAAAGTATAGTCAATAAGGATAGTTGGGCCACTTCCTTCGGATTCAAGAGAATCTGATTTCTAGAAATGAATTTAAAATATAGACCAATTAAACAGAAATTGCGCTTCAAACACATCGAATACAAACAAAATAAGTCAACGTTAATCTCATTCCAAGTATGTACAAATGTTGATGTATTCTTTTACAGTTCTAGATAGAGAAGAGCGAAGGGGGAGTTTTTAGAGAGAAGAATGGATGTGAGGATGAGAGGTAAAAGAGAGAGAAGTTTGAGGGTTAGAGAGAGAGAGAGATTTTGACGGATTATGGCTTTGAACTTTAGTGTGAAATGGGATACTAACAAAGGTCGATTATGGTAGGGAATTTTTTTTTTAAAAGAGATGGGAAAATGTAAAATTAAGTATTAATAAGCAAAACAATTTTCAATCTTTGCAAAAATGATGAAAAACACTAAAAAATACATTACAAATAAAATCCTTTATTTTGGGAGAATTAATATAATATTTTTTGAATTTTTTTAAAATACCTGACCAGTTTACCAAACTTGACCGAAAACCGAACCGGCAATTGGCCGGTCCCGACCTTAACTTGAACCGCCCAACTTTTCCTATACATTTATGATAGATAATTCCCTGTATTTTTTCGGGGTTACTCCATTGTAGGGTGTGAAACACTTTTACTATTAAAAAGTTATTGATGATATATATATATATATATATATATATATATATATATATATATAGTAGTAGTATATATACTACGTACTACTACTATATATATACACGTAGTAGTAGTAGTAGTAGTAGTATATAGTAAGTAATGTACTAGTACTAAC